ACAGTAGAGAGATATCAAACAGACAGCATATGCAAGAGATGCAGGGCACTGTAGAGAGATGGAAACAGGGAAAAGTGAGAGGCTAAGAAGGAACAAATGCTGATGCTTACATCGCACTCCCTATTTGCACGCTGTTCTGAATGCCTCATTTAAGTCTCCCTATGAGGCAAAGCCGAGCTTTTTGCTTTGGTTTGGGGACTCCTGTTTGTTTCTTTTTTTTTTGAGACGGAGTTTCGCTCTGGTTACCCAGGCTGGAGTGCAATGGCGCGATCTCGGCTCACCGCAACCTCCGCCTCCTGGGTTCAGGCAATTCTCCTGCCTCAGCCTCCTGAGTAGCTGGGATTACAGGCACGCACCACCGTGCCCAGCTAATTTTTTGTATTTTTAGTAGAGATGGGGTTTCACCATGTTGACCAGGATGGTCTCGAACTCTTGACCTCATGATCCACCCGCCTCGGCCTCCCAAAGTGCTGGGATTATAGGCTTGAGCCACCACGCCCGGCCTTGTTTGTTTCTTTTATAGACAGGGTCTCCCTCTATTGCCTAGGCTGGAGTGCAGTGGCACAATTCAAGTCTCACTACAACCTTGAAATTCTGGATGCAAGTGATTCTCCTACTTCTGGCCACCAAGTAGCTGGGACTACAGGCACCGTGCCTGGCTTTTTTTTTTTTTTTTTTTTTTTTATCTTTAGTAGAGACAGAGTCTCGTAGTGTTGCCTAGGCTGCTCTTGAACTCCTGGCTTCAGGCCATCTTCCCACCTCATGCTCCCAAAGCACTCAGATTACACACATGAGCCACCACACCCAGCCACAAAGCAGTATTATTATCACATTTTTACAGATGAGCAAACTGAGGCTCAGACCGGTGAAATGAGCTGCCCAAGATCACACAGCAACAGGCGGAGCAGGAATCTGAATTCAGACTCTGGGGCTACAGACACTGCACTTCTTCTATTCTTTTTTTTCCTTCCCCCCACCCCCTTTTTTTTCTTTTTTTTTTTTTTTTGGAGACATGGTCTCACTCTCTCAGGCTGGGATGCAATGGCATAATCACAGCTCACTGATGGTTCAACCTCCTAGGCTCAAGTGATCCTCCCACCTCAGCCTCCTGAGTACCTGGGACTACAGGCTGCACTACGACCACACCTGGCTCATTTTTATTTTTAGAGACAGAGTCTCACTTTGTCACCCAGGCTGGAGTGCAGTGGCTCAATTTCAGCTCACTGCAACCTCCACCTCCTGGGTTCAAGTGATTCTCCTGCCTCAGGCTCCCGCCAAGCTGGAATTACAGGTGCACGCCATCACACCCAGCTTAATTCTCCCCGTTTGGGGTGGGGACAGCAACCCCAGGCATGTAGCCTCCCAACCCACCAGACCTAATACCCTAACATCGTGCTGACAGTGGTGGCTGTTCTCGCTGGGCTGGCATCCCAAAGGACACCGAGCCAGATTCAGGCAGAGTGGAAGTGGCCTGAGTGGTCCTACCCTGAATGGGCTCTCCCCAAGGCGATGCAGAAACTGGGATGTGCTCTGCTGAGCATGGGGTTGGCTGGAGTGAGGCTTACAGGCGGTCCCCACATGCGGATTAAGATGTCAGCTCTTTAATCTCCATGCTCTTCCCAGCACAGGCTGACCACAGTCTGCCCGAGGGCCCAGCCATGAACACAGAGGTTGGGGGAGAGAGGGAGAGATGGAGAGACCCAGAGGTCCTGAGAAAGACGAGTAGTGAGAGATGATGGGGAAAAAACACATGGAGACCCCGAAGAGAGATGGAGAGAAAGAGGAAGAGACAGAGAGATAGGCAGGGAAAGCAGAGAGATCGGAAAACAAAGACTGGAAAGAGGGCCACTGAGAAAAGGGAGAGATAGGGCATCCAGAGAGAGGAAAGCAAGGAGACCCGGAAACAGAGGTAAAGAAAGAGAACAGAAATGAGAGCTAGAGAGACCTGAGAGAAAAAAAAAAAGGGAGGAAAAGAAAGACAGGAAAAACAGAGAAATCCAGTCTACTTAGAAAGAAAAACACTGAGGCGGGAGCATCACTGGAGCCCAGGAGTTCAAGACCAGCCTGGGCACCATATTGAGACTTGGTCCCTACGAATATTTTAAAAATTAGCCGGGCATGGTGCTGTGCACCTCTAGTCCCAGCTATTTGGGAGGCTCAGGTGGGAGGATCATTGGATCCCAGGTGGTCGAGGCTGCAGTGAGCTGTGATGGTGCCACTGCACTCCAGCCTGGGCAAAAGAACAAGACAGACAGAAGGGAAGGGAAGAGAAGGAAGGGAAAGGAGGGGAGGGGAGGGAAGAAAGAGGTGGAGCACAGTGGCTCACGCCTGTGATCCTAGCAATTTAGGAGGCTGAGGAGGGAGAATTGCTTGAGACCAAGAGTTGAAACCAACCTGGCCAACACAGCAAGGCCCTGTCTGTATAAAAAATAAAGATGGGCCGGGTGTGGTGGCTCACGCCTGTAATCCCAGCACTTCGGGAAGCTGAGGCGGGCGAATCACCAGGTCAACAGATCAAGACCATCCTGGCCAACATGGGGAAACCCCATCTCTACTAAAGATACAAAAAATTAGCTAGGTGTGGTGGCATGAACCTGTAGTTCCAGCTACTCGGGAGGCTGAGACAGAAGAATCACTTGAACACGGGAGGCAGAGGTTGCACTGAGCCAAGATCACACCACTGCACTGCAACCTGACAGAACGAGACGCTGTCTCAAAAATAAATAAACGAACAGAAGTAGGGAGGAAGAAAAATGTGCATTCACTCAACAAATATTTACTAACTGCCTACTGCTGTGCTGAGCACTGTTTTAAATGCTGGGATTTAAACAGACGTGAAGGAGACAAAATCCCTGCCTAGAAAAGCCAGCATTGCAGAGGACGGCCCACCAGAGCAAAACGGAAGAAGAGTCAGGAGTGGGGAGAAAGCCAGAGGTGGTAAAAAAGAGGATCCATTGGCGAGCCCGTCACAAAGGGTGGGGTAGGGCTGAAGGAGGATGCGGCTTACTGAGCCCCACTATGCCCCCACTGTCAGTGGAGTCAGCAGCTCTGAGCAGGGACTATGCCCCACAACCCTTGCCAGTCAACAGGTTCCAGAAAGGCTGACAGGTAGGAAGACCCACGGGAGAGACAAGGGGAAGCACAGGCTGGGAGAGATACAGGGAGAGGAAGACACAGACATACTGAAGACAGAGACAGAAAACAGACACGAACGGAGGCCCAGACTGAGTGAAGAGAGAGAGAAAGGGAGAGACATGAACACAGAAACAGAGACTGAGAGTGAGGGAGGCTGGGGGCGGTGGCTCACGCCTATACTCCCGGCACTTTGGGAGAGCAAGGCAGAAAGACTGCTTGAGCCCAGGAGTTGGAGACCAGCCTGGACAGCATAGTGAGACCCTGTCTTTTCAAAAAATACAAACTGGCTGGATGTGGTGGTGCACACCTGTGCTCCCAGATATTCGGGAGGCTAGGTGGGAGGACTGTTTGATCCCAGGAAGTTGAGGCTGCAGGGAGCCATGATTGTACCACTGCACTCCAGCCTGGGGGACAGAAGCCAGATGCTGTTTCAGAAAGAGAGAGATTAAACAAAGGTAGAGACACAGAGAGACCCTCCCAGACAGTGCCAGTCTGAGGCTCTGCATAGTCTCTCCACCGTCTCCCCAGGTCTGGGCCCTGTGCCAGGCACTCGGAGGAAGGCTAGATCTCGCCAAGCAGGGACAGGCAGCAGGGTGGGCCACATTCCTCACTAGTATGCTCCAAATACAGCCCCCCCCCACCGCTCCTACCACCCCAGCCCTGGCCCATCCAGGCATGAGTCTGCCCCCTCTAGCCCACACCCTAGGATTGAGGGAGGGGGCAGGTAGATGAGAGAGTGAGGGATAAGTCGGTCTGCCATCCTGGCCTGACCCCAGATAGGGACTGGAGGACTGGATACTAGAGGTTCAACAGCATGGGCACAGGACATTTGGGGGCATCGGGAGCCAGTGCCTTGGGAATAAAGATGGTAGATTCAGGGCAGGACATGATATGGAGGTACAAGGGGGTCGACATGCAGAAAGGCACCCTGAAGAAATAAATCTAGACACAGATGTGCCAGTCTGATGGACGTCAGAAGCCAGAGAAATTAAAGGAGCAGGGGGATAAGCGTAGCACACAGGGTCCCAAGAGCAATGGAAGTGACAAAGGCTCAGGTGTGAGTTCCTAGAAATCCTAGGCATGGGGCACAGGAGTGCCAGGGATGTCTTTATTTTTATTTATTTTTTATTTATTATTTTTTATGAAGACCGGGTTTCATCATATTGGTCAGGCTGGTCTTGAACTCCCGACCTCAGATGATCCACCCGCCTTGGCCTCCAAAGTGCTGGAATTACAGGTGTGAGCCACCATGCCCAGCCTATTTTTTATTTTTTGAGACAGTCTCACTCTGCAATGGCGCAATCTCGGCTCACTGCAACCTGCACTTCCCGGGTTCAAATTATTCTCCTGTGTCAGCCTCCCGAGTAGCTGGAGTTACAGATGTCCACCACCACGCCCGGCTAATTTTTGTATTTTTGGTAGAGACAGGGTTTCACCATGTTGGCCAGGATGGTCTTGATCTCCTGACCTCGTGATCCGCCCGCCTCAGCCTCCCAAAGTGCTGGGATTACAGGCGTGAGCCACTGCACCCAGCCTTACGGGTGTCTATAGAAGTGTATTTGAGCTGGGTGCAGTGGCTCAAGCCTGTAATCCCAGCACTTTGGGAGGCTGAGGCAGGCTAATGATCACCTGCGGTCAGGAGTTGGAGATCAGCCTGGCCAACATGGTGAAACTCCATCTCTACTAAAGATACTAAAGATACAAAAATTAAAGATGTGGTGGTGCACACCTGTAATCCCAGCTACTTGGAGGGTGAGGCAGGAGAATCTTGAACCTGGGATGTGGAGGTTGCAGTGAACGGAGATTGTACCACTGCTCTCCAACCTGGGCGACAAGCAAAAACTCTGTCCAAAGAAAAAGAAATAGTGCTCGCTTCGGCAGCACATACACTAAAAACTGGAATGATACAGAGATTAGCGTGGCCCCTGCTCAAGGATGACACACAATTCGTGAAGCATTCCAGATTTTTTTTTTAATTAAAAATAAATAAATAAATAAATAAATAATTAAGAAAGGAAAGAGGAGAGTAACAGTAGCATTTGAAGGTCAGAGTTATTCATTAATCACAGGCACTGGGTATAGCATCCAGGGGGCCTACAGGTGGCTCAGAGATTGAGGAATACACCTACAAGCCAAGTAAGTTGGACTCAAAGGTGCTAAGGGCTCAGGATGGTGCACCTGTTGGCCAGGTGTGTTGACATGAAAATGCTGGTGCCCCAAAGTTGCTAAGTAGGACAGGCTGAGGCAGGCACACATGCACAAAAGCCAGGGGAGCCAGGGCACAGTTCCACTAGGGCTGGGGACGGTGGAGACCTCTGGTTGGGGTATCCACAGAATGAGCAGCCGGGAGACGTCCACTCCTCCCACTTAGGGTCTCCACCCCTGCACCACCCTAAGACCCCTCGGAAATCAAATAGAGGTGAAGGGGTGCAGGTGTGTAGAACTGCAGGCATGATGATCGGGGGATCTCGGCGCTGCTGTTGTGGCCTCTGGTGCTGGCACTGGCATGGTGGGGGTAGGTGGGGGCGGCACTCAGATGCAGGGGTCCCTACCTCCCCAGCCCAGGCCGCTCCCATTGCTGGGAAACTTGCTGCTGTAGTCCGGAGGCCTGGACTGGGCACTCCTGGAGGTAACCCCACAGAAATGGGGAAACAGAATTCTGGATTCTTGGAGGCAGGGCTGGGGACTAGAACACCTCCTGAATGAAGACAGCTGAGGGCTTGTCCTCTATGCTCCTGAGGAAGGAGAGGAAGGATGAGTGCCCCGGACTCCTGAGTTCTAGGAAAGGAGCCTAGCGAGCTTGGGACCAGGACACTGGGTCATAAGGGAGGAGCCCAGAGCAGGAAATCAGCTTGTGGGAAGAGGAAGCAGAGTGGGTCTGTTCTGGTTCAAGGCGGGGAGGCCGAGTACTGAGGTCCAGGAGTCCAGCTCTGAGGGTGCAGGAGGCTGGGAAGTAGGACTTCTCAGTCCCACGGGAAGAAGGAAGAGGGAGCCTGGATTCGTAAGTGTCAGGGAGGAAGGACCTGGGAATCTGGACTCCTGACCCTGAGGAATGAGGGGCTGGGGTGGGGTGAACTCCTGGGTCTGAAGAAGAGGGAGGTGGGGGCGAGGGCTCGGATGAGGAACCCGATGGGCACCTGCTGAGCACCGGCCCCTGGTGCTCTCCGGCCGCTGGGGCCCAGTGCTGGCAGTGTGGCTGGCCCCGCGCCCTGCAGTGGCGCTGTGTGTGCGGCTCTGCAGCGCTGCGGGACGCGTTGGTGCTACCGGTGGATGCCTTGTCCGGCCGCGAGTCCATGGTCGTCTTCGAAGGCTTCACATGCGTTTACGGTGAGGCCCGGGCGCTGGACGTCCTGGCCGGGATGCTCCAGGATGGTCCCCTAAAGGTAGAGGTGGGAAAATGGAGGCAGGGCCTGACAGAGACTCCAGCTCACCAGGTGCCCACCGCCGAGAGGGCGGGAAGGCACTAAAGCGTCAGGTTCGAACCGAGCTTCACCCCGCAGCCAAGAGAGAGTCTAAGACTCAAAGCCCGAGAGCCTTTGGGTACAGGCCAGGGATCGAGACCAGCAAAGGAGGGGCCAGCGTGTGGATAGGGCACTTAGCGGTCTGGTAAAAAAGCAAAGCGAAGGAAGGCGGCCGCAGGGGTCGGAAGCCCAGAGAGGGACGCAGCTAGTGACCCGGAGCTTCCTGGATGGGGCGTGGCCAACTCCTGGGCCCGCCTCTTTTCCTGTCTCCCCAACAGGAATCTTGTTTTCTAACAGGACGCGCTGGCGGACACTGCGCAATTTTGCACTTGGAGCCCTGGATTTCGGGTTGGGCACGCGGAGCGTCGAGGCGCGCATCCTGGAGGCCGCGGCTGGTCTGCTTCAAGCCACCGTTGGTGCCCGGGAGAGCAGAAGGGCCTGGTGTGGGTGTGGCCCTTGGACTGCCAAGATGGGGCTACTGGAAGGTATGTGGCTTTAAGAAAGCCAGTAAGCCCACGGAGCTGACTGGGGGCCGGACCACACGTTAGGACCACCGTCCTGTTCCCACCCCCAGTAGCCAGGCTTGACCCCATGGGCCACTGGATAATGCTGTATTCAATGTTATCTGTTCTTGTCTTCAGGAATCACTATGGTTATGGGGACCCCGAGTCTCTGACGCTCCTGAACCTCTTCAATGACACCTTCCACATCATGAGTTCCAGACGGGGCAACGCGAGAGGGCTGGCCACAGTCTCTCCCTTTTGAGTCCAGCCTTATGCCAAATCGCGAGTATGCAGACCTACCTACAGTGGCTCATTAGAGTGGGACAGTGAGATTCGTGGAATGGAAGAGTTCTAGAAGCTCCAGTATCAAAGTCCTGGTCCAGTCTCCCTAGTCTAAGGAAACTAACGCCTAGTGGCTTCGTCCAGGGCCCTTGTTGAAACCCTGTCTCTCCAGATGGGCATTTCTCCTGTCTCTCCTGGACTGGCTCCCTGGCCGCATCACCTAATCTCCCGAAAGTCTTTGGAGCTGCAGGTCTTCGTCTCAGCAAATCCAGCGACACCTGCAGATGTGGCAGCCGGTGGAGACTCGCGACTTCAATTGCTTCCTCAACCAGATGGCTAAGGTGTATGTGGATCCCAGCTCCCTAAACTCTGTCCATGCTGCCCACCAAGTGCCTAGCACGTGACAGTGTGTCTCCTCTGCCCATAGCAGCAGCAGGATCCAAGAGACGTTGGTAATTACGACACTTTTTTTTTTTTTTTTTTTTTTTTGCAGCACTGAGACCACGAGCACCACCCTGCACTATGGGCTCCTTATTCTACTTAAGTACCCAGAGGTAGCAGGTTTTCGAGCTGGAGAGACCCAGAATGGGAGGCTGTGGTTTGGGGATGGCTGGAGGGTCCCGAAGTGCGCAGCTCACAACCTCCCCTGGCCCCCGCAAGGTGCACTGGAGCTGGACACCGTGGCAAGGCGGCCGCGCACCCCAAGCCTGGATGACCACATGCACCTGCCCTACACCAATGCAGTGCTGCTCGAGATCCAGCGCTTCATCAGCGTGGTGCTGCCGCGCACCCTCATTCGCGACACCTACCTGTGAGACCACTTTCTGCCCAAGGTGCCCACCGACTCTGGGGATCCTGTGCGGGGCCCGGGTGCATAAGCGTGTATTCCGAGATCAGCCAGAACAGGAGGGCGTGCACTGTGCCGACTGAAGCAGTTATCCCTGGAGCAGGAAGGAAGGCCCACCTTCCCTTAGGCTTTTTTTTTGAGACAGTCTCTGTTGCCCAGGCTGGAGTACAGTGGTGCAGTCTCAGCTTACTGCAACCTCCGCCTCCAGGGTTCAAGCGATTCTCCTGCCTCAGGCTCCTGAGTAGCTGCTATTACAGGCACCTGCCACCATGCCTGGCTAATTTTTGTATTTTTGGTAGAGATGGGGTTTCACAATGTTGGCCAGGCTGGTCTCAAATTCTGACTTCAAGTGATCCACCCTCCTCAGCCAGAATACTGGGATTACAGGTGTGTTATCCACCTGATCTATTTGCTGGGGCTTTTAAAAAGGGTCTTGGATAGAGGAGGTGTATGTGCTCACCAAGTCCACAGGTAACCTGAGTTCCATGTACCCCCAGGGCACCTTTGATTCCCCTGCTTGTGACTGTGCACCAGGACCCACTCAATTCAAGAACCCAGACTGCTTCAAGCCTACCAACTTCCTGGACAAGGGCAAGTTCCAGGGCAATGATGCTTTCATGCCCTCAGGTGCTGGCAGGAGAGGAAGGGGACCATCCTGGACCGGCTCGGGGGTGCATGGTGATCATTATGCACCCATGTACCCAGGAAAGTGAATGTACCTGGGCGCAGGCCTGGCCCACTCGGAGATCTTCCTCTTCCTTACCGCCATCCTACGGAGGTTCTGCCTGCTCCCTGTGGAAAACCCTAGCTCCATCAACCTCACCTACAGTGCACTAGCCTGAGCAATGTCCCCCAGCCTTCCAGCTCTAACTAGTAGCCTGCTGAGGTCAGGCTCCACTACGGTGGGCTCGCTGGCCCTCCAACTTCCGTACCCTCTCTGGTCAATAAAGGCCCTAAATTGCAGATGGAGTCAGATGTGTGCAGCTCTGAGGTAAACTTTTATTTCTTGGCTGATAGGACTTCCACACCCATGCTCCTCCTGGCACCTTCTACTCTGCCCAAGCAGTGGCAGCCCAGTCCCAAAGGTGCCTGCCATGGCCACAGGGGTTGGGGAGTCACTTCACATTCCAGGCTGGATGAGTGAGAGGGCTTGGGGGTACTCCCCCCACACCATTGCCAGCAAGAGGCCATGACTCACCGCAACCCCAAATCCTGCCTCCTGGTGGGAAGTGACAATGCCTCCTCCCAGCTCTCCACACCTAATGGGGTCATGACCAGACAGGGTAGGACCCAGGCCCCCAGCCTGTTGGTAACGGTGGCCTCCAAGGCTGCCCCCTGTCCCGGTCACGACCCCAGCCCCCATCATGGGGCAGCAGAGGTCTCTTCTGCTCCTTGGTCCTCAGCAACAGACAGAGCCTTCCACGCCAGGCAGGACAGAGGCAGAGTCAGAAGCAGCAGCGGTGGCAGGGAAGGAGCGGCCAGCATGAGCTCAGGGCTCTCCTGAAGTCAGGGCAAGCTGTCTGCCATGCGGCTCTGGGACCCGGCCACTAGGTGGGCGTAGGCGGCTGTGATACAGGTACTTGGACACCTTTCTGTCCTGATGCTGGGGGTGAGAGGGGACAGGAGATGGGGAGTCATCAGGGAACAGATGAAAAAGCCAAGGGAAACCTGGGGAGATGAGGAGAGGACCAGGAAGAAATGGGGCTCCTGTTGGGGTACCAGGAGAGTGGGCTGTCGAAGGAAGGTGGGCAGAGATGAGGAAAAGTGAGAGGTGGGATTTAACGAGAGGCTGATGAGGGGGATGGGGTGGTGTGAGGCCCAACAGGACCCACGGAATAGGAAGGACTGGAGGGAGGGAAGCAGATACCTAGCTGAT